CCCCCCCCCCTTTCCCCCCCGCCCCCCCCTCCCCCTTCCCCCCTCCTCCCCCCGCCCCCCCCCCGCCCCCGCCTCCGCCTCCAGCACCCATTTCGCCCCAGGCAGGGGATGCTATTTGCCACGGAAATAAAGTTCAGATTTCTCTCCCCCCCACCCCCGCCGCTTTCTGAGACCAGAAGTGGACTCTCAGGCACCCATCTTCCCCCTAGCACTACACACCTGCTCCCCTTTAAATTCCTAATCTGGTTTTGCATATTTAAGAGGAAACACTCTCCCCCCCACACACACACCCCAAAACCCCACAACCCGGGAGGTGCAAAACTGCCTCCTGCGAGTATCAAAACTTAACAGACTCTCTAGTTGTTTTTGGCTTAACAAAAGGACAACAAAGATTTTACTCCGGGTCCTCCTGTGGGGTGACTTTTCTGTATTATTCAAATACGCATATATTATACATATATGTTTTTCCTTTTTCCCCTTTGATTTTTTTTTTTTCCTCCTTAACAAGAAAATCTTCTCGGTCCCAGGCAACCGCTGCTGCCCCTTTGATGTTTTGGTACGCCTTGCGCATGCGCCTCACATTAGAATTACTGCACTGGGCAGACTAAGTTGGATCTCCTCTCTCCAGTGAAACCCTCAATCCCGTCCAAAACTAAAGGGATGTGGAGAGTCCGGAAAAAGGGCTACTTTGGGATCTGGCCGTTCCCCTTAATAATCGCCGCTGTCTGTGCGCAGAGGTAAGTGTGTCTAGCGTTTCTCTTTCCTTTTTCAGTTTGAAAGGCTCTGTCTGCCTACCTCTGTGAGCAAGGATCTGTAGTGAGGATCAGATAGATGCTGAAGCGCTGTGCCTGCTGTCTTATTGATGCCTGTTTATTGTCTTTTCTTTCTTTAGTGTCAATGACCCTAGTAATATGTCGCTGGTTAAAGAGACGGTGGACAGACTCCTGAAAGGCTATGATATTCGGCTGAGACCAGATTTTGGAGGTAATGGGGTTGCCTTGGAAATAAGAAACAGCCCAGCAGCTGTAGCCTAAGCTGTCTTTTGAGCTTTGTGCGCTGTCTTCCCTCTCCCTCATTGTGGGTTGCCTGTGGTGTACTGAACATGTCTCTGTGTTACAATATTGAGAAACTGATCCAAACTTAAGCTGATTTGTTACTCTCCAGCACTTAGATGGTCTTTCAGAGAGACCCTCTTAGCCTGTACTGGTGACTGCTGTCCTTCAGCTTCACTGTTTAAATCCTTTGCTTCACTGTCTTTGTTTCCTTGAGATACAAACCTCTTAAGTTTGGTTAATGGTGTGCCCGGTGAACCTGGCTTACTGAAGGCCATCGGGAAAATTTTTGGGGACAAGATATGCAGACAGTTGGTTGAGAAGTCGCATTAACCCCCTGTGCCCACCTACTTTGGAAGAGTTCTAGCCATGGTTTAAATTGGCTGGTGTCTGGATATTATCCAGTCCTGGAAACCTCACTGCAGGGGGCAGTGGGGTGGGGGGGGAGGGGCCTGGGGGGCTCGGAGGATAGGGAGGGTAGTGGGAGAAGGGCTAGAGACCTTTCTTGCTGCAGCCTTAGATACACTGATATGCCCATTTAATTTTACTCCAGACTCTAACAAAGCTCAAAGAGTTAAAACGTGCACAGAAGCGGGGGGTAGGAAGAATGAGGAGGGGGTTTCAGTGCAATATATAACATTTCGCTTGCGCTAGCCAGATTCCGGTGCTTTTGTGGTTGTGTGTATTCTCATGCTAAGACACCTACATATGTAGACAGACGTGGAATCCCTCACCCATCAGACACGTGTGTGCCTGTTCAATAGAGCATTTCCCAGAGGAGTACCTGTCACTCTTTAAAAAGGAGCAGAGAATTGAAGAATTTGAGTGTGAGCAGTGGGAAGGGATTTGGGGCAGAGTGTCCCGTGCCCGGGGACTACTCTTGCTAAGAATGCATGAAGTTCTGAGAAGTCACGTGGCTGGCCATTTTGGTTTGCAGGTCCCCCTGTGGCTGTGGGAATGAACATTGACATCGCCAGCATCGATATGGTTTCTGAAGTCAATATGGTGAGTATTGAGGTTTATGGCTGTGTCTCTGCAGACCTTCATTTGGGGACAGGAAGGAGAAAGGATCCAACTGGTGAGGGTGGGGTGTGCATGAGTATGTGTAGGAAGTTGGGTGAGGGCAGGGCATTTTGCTTTGGAACCCACTGTCTTTGAGGCTTCAGAGCTGGCTCTTTCTGGTCCCTAAAGATTTTTCCAACCTGGTTTGAAATTGTGGGACTTGGCGAAGAGGGTGTAAACTGCATCACACGTTCACGTGCAAAACTCAGCCACATGCAGGAGAACCCCTGCAGGAGTCACATTTCCTAAGGTTCAGTGGGAAATCCACTTCATCAAGTGATTTTTCTGAGTTTGGGGTGGGGTCAGGGAAGGAAAGAAGAGGAGAGAAAAGGGAAGTGTTTTGATTTGACATTTCACAGAGAATATAACCTGGGAACTAAACTGTAGTGGAGAGGCTGAATAAATGACCCTCGGATACTGATATCCACTTGTTGCTTTTGGAGCCGGCCTCTTTACAGCTGATGGCAAGCCCCGCCGCCTGCCCATGGCTCACCTGCTCCTTTAACCCCCAAAATAAATAAAATAAAAATTGGCCACCCTGCTTTCAAAAGGTAAGCTCAGACCTATGTGTCATCTCTGGTCACTTCTGCAATGGTATTCACCGCATGTCATAAGCCTGTGTGATTTATGGACAGCAGCACTCCTTAGTGGCCCCCTCTTTGGTCTTGGGGCAAGTGCTAAGAGAAAAAGCCTCTGTCTTTCCCTCCCGGGAACACTTGTGTGTATGTGTGTGTGTGGTGGGTGGGTGGGGGGGCGCCGAGGGGAGGGTTGCTTCATGCAGGAGCTCCCCCTGCTGCCCATGTTGGGGCACTGCAGACATACAAGACAATAAGTGTCCCAGATACCCCTGCTTACTTGCGCCATTTCTATAGTGACTTTTCTGCTCTGTGTTTTTGAAGTTTTCACCCTTGGAAAAGTCTCTAGAAAGGCCACATTTGAATGTAAGATGCCAGGGTTACTTTCAGTCTTAATAGGATACAGCACATTGCAGAAAATTGTATTGTAGTGTAGTTTTGCCTGGAAACAGGATGCACTGTTAAAGAAGAGGGTCTAGTGTGTAAGGTTTTATGCAAAACAGTTCTAAGCCAGCCATCAGGACTTGAAAGTTAGGACACTTATTAATTCACTCGAGAGCCAAATACTAGGTAGTGGATATGCTCTTAACGTCATATAAATTTTCATCACCCCAGAATTCAAATATAGAGGAAGCTCAAATAACCAGCCCAACCTTATACAATGTCCAAAGATAGGTGATAATCCTGAGCTGTCACAAGCTTATGAAACATCTATGACTACTCCAGAGAACACTCAACTCTTTCAGTGATGTTTTTAAGGACGTGTATCTTGTTATATTCTAATTATTGGGAAAGCATTTTATGATATAGGATATGAACACAGACTGAAGACACTATTGGATGATTCAGAACCATAGATTTCCCACACATTGTGAGAATCTCCTGTGTGGGTAGAGAATATTTCTTTCTTGGGAAACTAAACATTTAACTTCTCAGGTATACAAATATTCACTTTTGTGAAATTTTAGAGGTCTTTCATCAGTTTATATTTTGAATTTTACCATAAAAATAGAAAATGTCCTCATGTGAGTACCTGCTAAGTCCTAGGTACTTGAATCTAAATTGTGTGGCTAAAAAGAAAGTGATACGGAAGTCAGGTGTGGTTCTGTGTGTCCTGTCTTTTGAATTTTGATTTACTTTTGCTCTTTTCCTACATTTTATTCTGTCACCTTCCTCTTCAGAGCATCAGAAAGGTGAGACTTTATGGAAAAATTAAGAAATATTTAGAATCTAAAGAGACAATGATGAGATGATTAGAAGTTGCTGCATTAGAACTTAGATGTATAAGTTAGCTGAGAACTTAGACCTATTATATCCCAAAATGGTTTAAGAGTAGTGGCATTGTTTTCTTCTTCTTAAGTTTTGTTCATTTTTCACCAGCATGCAGCATTTTGGAGAGGTGTCAGAGCTGGACATGATGCCAAGATCTGCTAGTCAAAATATAGACCCAGTTAAGGCGAGGTGTCATCTCTTAAAGCTATTTACTGTTGCAGAAAAGTCACGGGATGTTGAAAGTGCAGAAACAAACGTCAGGTTGTAAATAGGCCAGTACTGCAGCATTAATGATTAGAACCAAGCATTAAAAATTCCATGCTAGATTCCTTTCTTAGCCTACTGCTAACACACGTGGACTTGTCCAGACACAGTTTTACTTGTTGAAAAATTAACACTTTTATGATTAACAGTCATAGTGACTTTAATCCTTCAAAGAAAAATTTTGTGATATGTGCTATTTTTTAAAGTATGGTTATTTGATTTGAAGCAACAGATGGGAAATTCCATCCCTGATGTCTAAATAAAAGAAGATGTTTATGGCATATTGCCCACTGTATACAGGTCTAAAAGGGTTAGGATCTTTCGATTAGATTCAGCTCTGAAAGAATGGTTGATTGATTATTTAAGTGAAACCTCAAAATTGATTAACGCACATGTTTCTGCCTCATTATCCTTTGTGGCCTGCAACCTCTGGTAATTGTAGCTTTCTTTTATTGTAGCAAATCTTCCTTTGAAGAATGGTAGGCACCAGACCATTTAGACCCGTCATTGACTCATTTGTACTGAAAGGAAAAATGGCCCATGTCGATGTGGTGCTCCTGGTAAATGGCAAAGATAGAAAGACCTGAATACTAGTTCTGCTTCTGCTGTTCAGTCAACTTGAGGGAATTGACAGCCCCATGGGGCTTGGTTTCTCTTTTTTAATATATATATATATATTTATTTATTTATTTGGCTGCACCTGGTCTTAGTGGTGGCATGCGGGATCTTTAGTTCTGGCATGTGAACTCTTAATTGAGGCATGTGGGATCTCGTTCCCTGACCAGGGATCAAACCCGGGCCCCCTGCCTTGAGAGCATGGAGTTTTAGCCACTGGACCACCAGGGGAGTCCTGGGGCTTGATCTCTTCACCTGCTAAAAGGGAATAATAGTCCCCGTTTACATATTTTAGGTGAGTACCAGAATTAATAAAATGATGCAAGTGAAAGTACTGGTGTCCCATGAACATAGCTTATATAGAAGACTGAATATCAGCCTGTCACTAAGGAGACCCAGTGTCCATTCCAGCCGCTGCCCTAAGTGTACTTGGGTCAGTGATTTACATTACGTGGTCTCAGTTTCCATATGTTTGAAATGAGAGGGACATGCCAAATTGACTTCTAACTCAAAGTTACATGTGTTTCTGCTTTGGTTTATTATAATAGCTCTGTTGGGTACAAAGAAGTTCCAGGAAACTTGGAAATCCAGCATAAATGTTAGAAAAATGCAGAATTCCTAAATGGCGTGCAGTTCTGAGTTCTTAGGAGGGTGATGATGGTATCTTACTCACCCATGTGACTCAGGTGACTGTTGATCCAGTGGAAGATCTCTGGAAGAACACGATCTCAATAAGAATGTTCCTGAGCAGAAAGCTTGGCTTTAGAATGAAACATTTTTAGATGTCTTGGTTAAATTGGCAGGACTCTTTTTGTTAAGATTCTTTGATGAAAATGCATTTTAAGATCCAAAATTGGCTCTGAGGATTATGGACAGAAATAGCTTTCTCTTCATTTAAAGCAGATTCTTCTCCATCTTGGAACAACACATTTGCCAACCGAAGAGTGAAGCAATATTTCACTTTTGAGGAAAGCGTTCTAGTAAACATATACACAAATTACCTTTTTATGGAATGGCAAATGGTGAAAAGTGCTGCCTTTTTTTTTTAAACAGATGTTTTCTTGCATCACCAGCTGCACAGTTTAAAATTCAATTCGACACAAATACTTATTTAGCAGCTACTATGATCCAGCTATGTGTTAGGCCATAGGGACAGAGCAGCGAACAAGAATGACTTGTCCCCTGACCTCATGAAACTTAATATCTTGGTGTTTACTATCGTTAATTCTACTGCAGGCTCCTATCATACTTATGTTTAACATGAGCATTTTCTCTAAAAATTTTTATGAGCAGCCTCTTGAGGACCTAGTTGTCTGTATCTCCCATGCGTTCCTTTGTCACTTGTTGATTTCACCATTCATTTGTTATTTGATATTTCAAATTGCCTGATATGTTACATATTTATCGTCTTCCTAAATGATTTGTATAAAATACATGTAGCCAAGGTTATAGTATCTCTCTCCATGTGGTTTTGCTCTGTAAACAACGGTTGGTTGGAAGTTTGACTACATAGTATCATATATGTGGAGAGACAGAGCATGGACTTGTAGGCCTCAAATTCAAGACACTTTTTAAATTACTATTTAAATCAATGAATGTGGAAAGAATCACAGTGTAGGACCACTGAGTTCTTTGAAAGCAGAAATACACAGGGCATATTGGAAATACAGAATTCTGAGGTATTATGTAGAAATTACTAGGTGAAGATGGGGGTTAGAGGTCTGTGGATAAATGTTTTAAGCAGAAAGAGTGGCATATAGGAGAAAAAACAGGAAAAATAAATGGGATTAGGAATTTGCAGGTAGCTTTAAATGGCTGGATTTGGGAGTGGGAGTGAGGAAGTGATAAGATTTGGTATTGAGATCATAAGTGGTGATCAAATTATATAGACCACTTTTGTAGCTTGCAGAAGAGTTTACATTTTGTTCCAAAGGCTGTAGGGACCCATGAAAAGATGTCAGTAGGAGAATCGCTTGAACAGATTCACACTTGAGGCAGATGCTTTAGAAGTATGAGGGGTGCAGCAAGATCAAAGGTTGGGAGATAAGGTGAAAATCCATTGCAAAAATCCGGAAAGAATTGATGAACGGAGACAGGGATGTAAAGGAGAAGATACAAAATCAGGGCTTTTACGAGGCAGAAGTGGCAGGACTTGGTGAATCCTAAGTTTCTGATGGTTTCATTTATTGATATGGGGAACACCAAAAGGGCAGCCAG